CAATCACAAAGATGTGAATGTTTCACGAACGGGTTTTGACTTTTGAAACGCACATACAATTTATCTTTCAATTATACTTGCATGAACGTGGCGTACTCATATCAAAGTGGATGGTTGGAATGATCAATCAATGGCTCAACTGAGCAGAGTTGACTTGTCGAAGCTTCAATTGAAGCTTCCCTCAGTTGAAATCGAATGAGGCAGCTTTACTACTGGCTTTAGTGTAAAAGCTTCAAACTTGTTTCGTCTACTTTCCGAGGCAAAATATGGCTGTGAATATCCTAGACTTCTTGACGTCTCTGCTGTTATTGTGCACTAACGAAGAGTCGTACAATAGGTCTATTAAGGGAACGACCCCCAACTTAAGGTGGCCATTTGGACTAAACCGCATATTAATAGATGCTTCTTGGTGAGCTGATTACAATTTAACTTCCATATCTGTGATGCTCCACGGATCTCCCTCATAGAGGGATCACAGCCGGTTAGTCGCGAGGCTACGTGGGGCGTCCCCAGGTGGCGGATAGGGGGATAATCGCCGACCAAAAGCGACCCCGCGCCTGCTCTGATAAGCAAGCGGAGCCGGGGGACGGACTCCCTGCCTCCACTAAAAGCTTGCGCCCTAATTTCCCGGTAGGTGTGTGGGGAGGCGAGTTCGGAGTCGCCTCCAACAAATAAGCTCCGATCGTCCCTCGCGGGGGTTTTGAGCCCAACAAGCTATCCCTGCGAGTAAATTCTTGTTCGACACAGTGATAATATGGAAAACTCCTTTAATCTTGGAAGAGCCACTGGTAAGGCAGCGCCAGTGGGGACAAGGTTTGAAAGGCGATCTAGGCTGCCGAAAACGAGACGGACTATGATGACGATCTGTACTTACAACGCGAGGACGCTGGCATCGGACGCATCTATCGAAGATCTCATGATGCAAGCAAGGAAGATTAAGTACGACGTCATCGGACTGACCGAGACAAGGAGGCACCACCCGCTGAACGCCACATTTGAGACTGGAGAAGAACTGTTTCTAGGAACGTGCGACAGTCGAGGAGTAGGTGGAGTGGGAGTCCTTGTCAACACGAGTTTGGCCATGAACATCGATTCGTTCGAACAACTTACAACTCGAATCGGACGTTTGCGAATATCAAGATGTGGATCAATCCCTGCCTTGACCGTCTTCATTGCGTACGCCCCAACATCCAGCTACAACGAGGACGAACTCGAGGAATTTTATATGGACTTGGAGAAGTTCTACAGAGAAGATCATACCTTCTACAAGATCATCGTCGGTGATTTCAACGCGAAGATCGGAACTAGAAGGTCGACTGAGGAACTTCACATCGGAACCCATGGTTTGCAGTGGAACGAACAAGGGGAGAGACTGTCCGAGTTTATCATGACGACGAGGACTATCCATGGAAACTCACAGTTCCAAAAGCCCTCTTCCCTACGCTGGACCTGGGAATCGCCCGGTGGTACCATAACGAGATTGACCACATCATCGTCAACAGAAGGTACTGCCTGACGGACGTCGCTGTTGTTCCGAAGTTCTACACGGGATCAGACCATCGTCTCCTGCGCGCCAATTTCTACTTTCCGCGGAATGGAGAAAGAGCCGTCAAGTTCAGGAAACATCGTCCCATGAATACCACCAACTGGGATCTGTTTTGTTCGATATCCGGCTCATGGCGAGATACCGTGATGGACAACATCGACGAAGAATACGAACGGTTCGTACAACATCTCCACGGTTGTGCCAAGGAAGCTCAGAGTCTAAGAAGTACGAGAAGGCGTCTCACCACGGGGACTTTGGAGCTGATACGCCAACGTGGACGCGCACGAGCCACAGGCAACTACCGACTGACGTCCGAGCTTGCGAAGCGATGCAGAGAAGCGATAAAAGAAGACCTTAAGGAGAGAAGAGTAGCAGTGATGGTTGACGCCGCGGAGGCTGGAAGAAGTATACGCAACGCCCGCCGAAGCTTCGTCAACTTCAAGACAAAGATGACCGCACTTCGTCGTCCTGACGGAACCATAACTGCTTCCCGAAGATCAATGGAGAAGGTCATCCACGACTTCTACTCGGATCTTTTTGCGAGCCACGTCCACCTTCCACCATGCCATCTCAAGGAGGACGAGTATGTCGCACCGTCTGTTCTTCCTTCCGAGATTCGTCATGCTATCATGTCGATGAAAAACCGTACAGCACCCGGTCCCGACAGGATTAAGCCAGAACATCTGAAGAATCTTTCGCCAGTTCTCATCAAGACTTTGGCAAGGCTCTTCGCGCGGTACCTGACGGAAGGCAAGGTTCCAAGGCAATGGAAGACCAGCAAAACCGTGTTGCTGTACAAGAAGGGAGATCCCTGCGACATCGGCAATTATCGCCCTATCTGCTTGTTGTCTGTAGTCTACAAACTCTTTACGCGAGTCATTCTCAACAGGATCGGAAGAGAGTTGGACGAAGGACAACCATGCGAGCAAGCTGGGTTTCGAAGAGGATTCAGCACGATCGACCACATACACACGGTGTCAAGGCTCATTGAAGTGTCACGAGAGTATAAGATGCCGCTCTGTCTCACCTTCATCGACTTGAAGAAGGCCTTTGACTCGGTTGAGACTGAAGCCGTCATCGATGCCTTGAGCAATCAAGGTATTCCGACTCATTACATCAAGATAATTCGTGAGCTGTATAACGACTTCACAACCACCATAACATCATTCTACAAGGACATCATCATTGACGTGAAGAGAGGCGTGCGACAAGGCGATACTATATCGCCGAAACTATTCAGTGCCGCTCTGCAGAACGTCATGCGTAAGTTGGAATGGGACAACATGGGAGTGAAAGTCGACGGCCGGCAGCTACACCACCTTCGCTTTGCTGATGACATCGTATTGATAACACCAAGCGTCACGCAGGCGGAACAAATGCTGGCCCAGTTTGACGAAGTGTGTGGAAAGATCGGTCTACGGCTGAATCTAACGAAGACGATGTTCATGAGGAACGGAAGAGTGCCTGATGCTCCTTTCATGCTCAACGGGACGAACATCACCGAATGCTCAAGCTACACCTACCTAGGTCGTGAACTCAATATGATGAACGATCTAGCTCCGGAACTGAGCAGGAGGAAACGTGCAGCATGGGGAGCATATAAGACAATTGAGGACGTAGTGAAGAAGACCAAGAACATCCGGCTCCGCGCCCACCTTTTCAACTCGACGGTTCTTCCTGCTTTGACGTACGCTTCAGAAACATGGACAATGAGAAAGCAGTATGAACACGCGGTTAGCGTCATCGAACGAGCTGTTGAGAGAGTGATGCTAGGAGTGAATCGACTCACGCAAGTGAAGCAAGGATTACGAAGTTCTACCCTACGTCAACGATCGAAGATCAGGGACGCTGCCGCGTACGCCAAGCAGAACAAGATAAGATGGGCCGGGCACGTAATGCGTTTCGACGACAACCGGTGGACGAGAGCTGTAACAGATTGGATACCACTGGACGTCAAACGCGAACGAGGAAGACCGCCGACGCGATGGTCAGATATGTTCACGAAGTCCTTTAATGAAGTCCTATAGAGCGTTCCACGTGTTCCTGGTGCGATACGTAAACATTGGTCAACAATCGCCCGAGACAGGGACGAATGGAGGCATCACTGGTACCCGCTCGTGCAACACGATGATCAACGGGGATACAGGTGATACAGGTAATCTGTGATGCTGTTCTCTGGAAAAACTTATGAGCGTTCAAAGATCCAAATTTGGCGAACATTCAGCGCCACATTTTCAAGAATCATTTGTTCAAAAACACTTAACCGAGTTTCTGGTACATGTGAGCATCCCTTAAAATCAGTACACTAAATATATTGCTAGTCCTGCACTCATAAGTTGGATCTTATAGCTATCATGCGTTAGAGCTCCAGTGATTTCACAGAAAGCGGTTAAATGTGTATATCACTAAATCCAATGCAAAATGAGCTTTAAAATCCATCTTGAAAGTGCATGATTTTGCAAGATATTAAGTGTATTGATTTCAAGGGATGCTCACATTTACCGGAGTCACAGTGGGTATTTTGAACAACTGTTTATGAGGATGGGGAGCTAAATGTTTGCAAAATTTGGGCCTATGAACGCTTATTTTTCCATAGTCCGGCATCGCAGATAAGGAAGGTAGGTTTGAATCAAGACAAAACTTTTGTGTACTGCTTTTTCTCTTTAGAAGAAAAAGCAATTTTTTGATTGAGGAATTTCGATTGAAAAAATTAGACAATAGTGGAAAGTACTACATATAATACTAATATACTAGTAGTACTATTGTCAATTTTCAATTATTATCTGATTATCCTCTATTTCGTTTAATTCCTCCTTTTGAGCACATGCATGTCCAGCCAAAATTGACCAAAAATTGCTAAGGTTTGCTATGGCTCAAGAGCAACTCGATTAATGGTCTGCAGAGTCAAGGGGAAACATTAGCAACCGAGAAGCTTTGGGTAGAACATGATCAAACGCAAGCTTTGTTTGCTTCTTCCCTGAAAAGGCAGTTACCGAGATTCTTTGTTTCAGAGAAAAAAGCTGATGAATTTACGGTTGAACAAGCTAAATAGTTGATGACAGAGTTGTGCATATTGTGCACAACTTTAACTTTTTATTTTTGACATAATCTGCGACATTGTCTTTTACAAATGCCTAGGAATTACACATGCAGAGAAATTAAGATTGTTGTAAGCTCGTAATTTCTCTTGCACTCAGAAGATCATATGTTTGGGTAGTGGACTATATGTCGGAAGAGGGAGGATTTAGCGAGGACGATGCAGCAGATCCTCATCCTGTGCACGTATTCAAAAGTGTGTTTGTCGCAGATGTCCGGCGGGATTTCCCATTTCCGTCGATATAATCCCCTACCCTCATCTGTTTCTCTGTCAAGTTATGTCAAAGAAGTTTCGTTTGTTCGTCGTTTTATCAGACGCACGATGTACCGCTTACTTTCTCACTATATCTTTTTCCAGAGGCTTTACGTCAGTTCAACAAGAATGAGAATTTTCAAACTTACCTTCTTGTTACTTACCATCTTAGTGGTAGGTTCAAGCAAGACATGACTTAGTTTGCGATATTACTCCTTAGACTACTGACTGTACATTACTTTAATGCTTACAGATTCTCTCTGCTGTGGATGTCGGTGAATGCGGAATTTTCAAGAAAATTGGAAAAGCTATCAAAAAAGTTGGAAAAGGGATTGGAAAAGGGATTGGAAAAGTTGCAAAATTTACATTCAAAGCAGCTCCCAAAGCGTTAGAGGTTGCCGGCGTTGCCAGTAAATTCGTATGACATTGATATATCGTGCTCGATTGTCGATAAACCTTGGCATTGTGATTCAAGTTGTAATACAGTTTTAAGTTTTCAAGCCGTCGACCAAGGTTGGTAGCAAGACTTTATTATGCGATAAGCCAACGTTTCGGCGTCATTACGGCTTAATGAAAAATCGAGACTGAAGAACTGGCCGCTCAAACACCCTATTTGGCAATAGATTCAGTTTAGCTATGTGATGGAGTGGCGCACTAGATGTTGAAAGCCTGATTTCAGACTTGTCGGATTGTGATATAGAAGGGATATAGAGGCCGAACAACCAGTACTGCGCTGCATCTGTGCTATATTCAATGGTTATAGAAGATCTCGTATTAAAATCCACACAGTGTTTGTTAGGAGAACACTTCGCTGTCTATGGCAATGCCTTCATCTTTGCGGTTCATTTTTGGTGGTTTAGACACTATCCAAAAGGCCTCCAACGTTTTGCGGGCTATGAACTCGGATTTGTGTGACAAGATTTTAACAGTGACTTGAAAGTACTAGTTCTCGTGACATAACCTTCGATGTGCACCCAAAGGTGTGGATATTTTGGATTTTCTAAGTCGTCAGATTTCCTTTGATTCTTGTGAGCAAGGGTCTGCCAGTCTCTCTTGTGTATTAGTCACCGCATTTTGACAGGTTATGAATTAAACCACTCCTAATTCCATGCAGTCGCCTGGTTTCCCAGAGCTCAGATAATACAGTTGGCGGTCGTGCACATTCTGTCATACGCTTGATTGCGGCTTAGTTGTTTTCTAAGATGAGTAGGGATATCTAGAACATTGACGGAATCATCGAGGCCCACTTGAAACAGTTCCTGATATTTCTGCTAAAATTATCAGATACGAAGAAAACATCGTGCTCACCGAGAGCTGAGACCATAGATATTACTTGTTGTACACAAATGTCTCCAGTGAAAATGATAAGGAAGCCGTCTATGTTACATTCGGAACTTCAATCCGCTTTCAACATGTGTGGGTTCAGTGTTAGACAAATCATGACACTAGAAAATGCCTCAATTGCAGCATATTCCGTTAGTCAGGAAGGTATTACAAGCAAGTCCGTAGCTTAACGATGTGGCAAAGACTGGCTCCCGTTGTCGCAATCGTCTGCATGTCAAAGATCGAAAACCCGCACTTGCTCGTAAGCCCTTGCTATTTTATGGATACATTAACGACTGCTGCGACATATGTCCAACTCAAAGTGAAATAGACTTGACAATAGTGCTTTGACATTATGAATAGCCGATCACCTAACATAAGATTTACGCGGGATAAAGCCAACGAAAATTGGCTAGCATCCATAAAGCTCCGAGTGTTTCTATCTTACGTATCATGACCAAATCATTCCGCAAACGAGCTAGTAAAAATAATAAATTCACTACTGCTCTCGCATCCTTGGAGCATGAAACGATCCGTAATAGGCAACATTTTCAGGCAGCAAAATCAGTTCCCTCCAACGTTGAACAGCGCAATGCATCGATGAACCTTGCCAAACAGATTGCGTATTCTAACGATTATCCCCCAAAAAGGCACCGATGCATACCTGTAGGCAAGAAAGCAGACCGACCGAAATGAACGACAACAAAAATACCGTTTTGTGTTAGTGTTTGGCTTAAACAGTCCTGCAATCTGAGCGTTTGTTTTGACCATTCAAACGTCATCTTGCACAAATGCCTGTGTCTACTATTTGCAAGTACCCTTCTACTGGCCTTTTCAACTCCAAAATCTTGAGGGTACTCGTGCAAAACATCCAAGTACTTCGGCACAGACACATCAGCATACAAGCAATGCACTTGTTTTAACGCGACTCTTTGCGCAAGACCGAATGTGATTTTCGAGGCTAGAAATTGTGCTGATCACCCTACAAAATTTTGGATTGTTATTCATCTATCGAAAAAGCTTAATCTACCTCATAGCATCGTTAGAAGCTAACTAGAGTGCTTTAAAAGCAGAAGAACAAATGTTTTATGGCTCGCTGACTTCAAAAGCCAAGCTTTGTTACTGTTTACAAAAATTTCGATTCAAAGGTTGAAGAAGGGAGCTTGGTTTGAGGCGTTCGTGCGATTATGGACTAGAAATGTAATTGGCGCTAAGATCAAACCGATTTCCATTCTTGTGCCGCGTTTCCCTTTACGGCCATGCTCTTTCACCTAGTACCAGCGTAACTACGCTGCGGCAAGTGCTTTGAGTAGATAACTTCCCTCACCCATCGTTCTATGGTGAAAAGCAAGGATGATGTTGTTTTTGTAGGGTTACGAAACTATGTTATAAATTTTAACAAAGACTGATCTGAGTTCGAACCAGCCCGTGGAAATGCTTCTTGGAAAGCTAGCCAAATCCTCCCTTATCATTCCAACAATGTACAATACCACCCGTAATTTGTGAAAAAAATTGGCAGCGGCACCTAACTCACGCGGCGCCGCCGCAGCTAGGCAGCAAGCGCCGCGCCGTGCCACAAAGTTAGGCAGAAAAGCGGCACCTGCGGCCTAACTTTGTCGCGCGACGCCTAACTTTTTTAGAAAAAAGACCTTATCTTGATTCAAAATTTGGAATTTTATATTTAAGAGTACCATTCAACTCAGCTCGGCGAGGCGCATCTTCCAGTATACAGATGTGCCTAGTTGTGGGATATAAGTTTTTTTCCTGGAATTTTAGTGTAAATGGATATTCAGTGTGCTGATTCCAGAGGCTACATACACATTCTAATGACTGCAGAAATAGGGCAGGTATAGTATAAGAGTTCATTCTGCATGGATATGTGTGAAACTGGGCTTTTCTGGCGAAATATGACTGGTCCCAAAATGCAGGAAGACAAAGAGAAATGGTTGGAAATCGCATGAAAAGCCAGTGGAATGCCGCTCGGCTGTGCAATGTATAATACCATCCACAGGACGGGAATTTCGCGAAATTCCAGAAATTTCGCGATTCCGTATCGCAAATTATGCAGCGCCATAACTTCCTTCAGAATGAATATATTCTAAATGCGAAAGCAGCATTGTGTTCAGCTCGTCAAGGCGAATCTTTCGACATACGTCATGTCATCTATATCTTGTTTCCAGTTTTCTTAAATTTTTCTGAGGAGGTCCCTTTGCAAGTATGTAACGCAGCGCCTATCCAACATGAAAGCTTCCAGTAGGCACCATTCGATAGTGCTCTTCTTGTACATTATAGTGCGCTAGAAAGCTGCCGCAGACTTCTTTTCAAAAGAGATAAAAGCGTTGGTAAATTCTGGAAAAATCACTCGTTTCCAGACTACTCTCCGTAACTTTCTTTGGAGTGGATATTTTCTGAATCCGAAAAATGCATTGTGCTCAGCTCGTCAAGGCAAATCTTTCGATATGCAGAATGTTCTCGATATCTCGATTTCAGTTTTCTTCGCAAAGGTGTGAAGCAGCGCGTATTACCCCCAGTAGATTCAGAAAGAAATTTTGATAGTACTTCTTCTGTAGATTATGGGGCGCTAGAAATTAGCCGCACACTGCTTTCCAAAGGAGTTAGAAGGGCTGGTGAATTCTGGAAAAATCATATCGTTCTACATTCTCATCGTAACTCTAAAATGTGAAGCTCTCTTGCTAAGCAGATGTGATTTTCGTAACCAGCAGGTCGGATAACCCTTATGAGCATGTTTTCCAAGATGTTCAAGTAATTTCATTTTTTCTCGTTTTACGCTCTGAAGCTGGCCGATGGATTTTGGTCAAAATGTTCATGCTCTTAAATTGTAAGGAAACTTCGCTTATAGAGGTTTTCGAACACGCTCTTTACGAAAATCGTGGTCTTTGAGGATTACAGGGTCTTTTTGGTGAGATACGGTGAGGTGACTGTAACTGCATCACGAAAGCGCGTAAATTGGCCCGCACTTCTCGCGTATCTGTCAGCAACCTTGCCTGCTTGCTTTTCTCAGTCAAAGTTACTAGGAACTGCGCTACCGAATGGTGCATGAATCAGGCTCCAGTCTGTAAAAATCACCGAGTTACGAGCCTATGAAAACACGTCCTCATGGATTTTGCCCAAAATCTAAAGATCGCAAATCTCGTCGAAATTCCACCGTGAGCGCTTGTACAGCAAGCTGATCAAAATCTTTTCACGTCCTTAATGGATCTTATTGTGTTAGATTTAGTAGTTCGAGTTATAGCCACCGAAATAGCTTTGATATTCAACTGAGCAGCTGAAGCATACGCAAGTACCATATTTAATACAGTGGAAGTCTTTGGGCGAAGCGAACACAATATCCGCAACGCGAGTGTCATACAAGCACTCACGATGGAATCGACGAGATATGCGATCTTTACATTTTGGGTAAAATTCATGAGGATGTGTTTTCATGGACTCGTAACTCGACGATTTCTGTATAGTATAGTGGAGTTTGAGGCATGCGCCATTCGATGGCACAGTCCCTACTAACTTTGACTTGGATAAGCAAGCAAGCAAGTTTTCTGACAGATACGCGAGAAGTGTGGGCAAAGTTACGCACTTTCGTGATTCAGTTACAGTCACCTCACCGTATGTCACCAAAAAGACCCTGTAATCCTCAAAGACCTTGATTTTCGTAAAGAGCGTGTTCGAAAACTTTATAAGCGAATTTTCCTTACAATTTAAGAGCATGAACATTTTGACCAAAATCCATCGGCCAGCGTAAAACTTATATCCCACAACTAGGCACATCTGTATACTGGAAGATGCGCCTTGCCGAGCTGAGTTGAATGGTACTCTTAAATATAAAATTCATAAATTTTGAATCAAGATAAGGTCTTTTTTCTAAAAAAGTTAGGCGTCGCGCGACAAAGTTAGGCGGGCAGGTGCCTCTTTTCCGCCTAACTTTGTCGCGCGACGCGGCGCTTGCCGCCTAACTGCGGCGACGCCGCGTGAGTTAGGTAGGTGCCGCCGCCAATTTTTTTCACAAGTTACGGGTGATATTGTATTGCTCGAATTTTGTGTCCCCATCTCTGTCGCCCCTCCCCTTTCAAGGTTTTCTGATCGCCACTGTCAAACAGGCCTTGCATATGTATCTGAATCACTTCACTCCCAAACCCACTTTCATCTTCCGCTCCCCCCCCCCCCATTTTCCCTACTTCGTCATCATTATAGAGACTCCATGTGCTCACCAATGCTTCA